GAGTTCTCTGAGGCCAGGGAAGACATGGCAGCTCTAGAGAAGGATTATGAAGAGGTGGGAGCTGATAGCATGGAAGGAGAAGAGGAAGGAGAAGAGTACTAAGGGTCACTTCCCAATAAATTTCTCGTTGTCATTCCTCATATTCTCACCCTGCTCCTAAAACAGGCTTAACTTAAAACTTCGTTCCATTCTGTACTTTGAACACTAACGCAATAAATGTGAATTTCAAACGAAATTGGCTGCCTTGTTTTCCATTCAGCTTTTTTTCCTTATCTATTTTAAGTTAATTTATTTTAAGTTATTGCTATGGTTGCACTCGGTCTGCTTTTGCACTCAGTTATCAGCTTTTGTAAAGGTATAACATTGTTTAATTTTATTAAGTTTGTCTGAAATCTAATTTCTTGGATGTTAAAATGGTTAACGGATGTTGTTTCATATTGTCCTGGGGCCTGTCCTACGAAGCGGGGTTACTTGTCGAATTTAAGGTAGTATGGGAAAAATGTGAGTGAACCAGAGCATGTGAGTGGAGCGTGAGCGAGGAGCGGAGCGGGCGGAATTTGGTCAGAGCGCAGAGCGGTTTTTTAATTAAGGCTGGAGCGGTCGCTTTGTCTCGCTCCAATTTCGCTCCGATACCGCTCACACTACAATTCTGAGGCGTGCCCAAATCTACCCAGAATTCATCTGTACAACTATCAAGACATTTGCACAATTTGGCCGAGATGGAATGCGCAAAGTATTTCACAAAGGAAACTGATAAATCATACAAGTGTACTATTCTTATCAAACGTATAGATGACAATAATGTACAGCAAGAACAACAATGTGGTGAAGCTGTTTCAGTGAGTAAAGATTCACTTTGGAATCACTTTTCTCAGAAACATGATGAGTGTGCTACGCGAACAAGCGGAAGCCAGGAGCAAAACGCGTGCAAGTTTTATATGGTTGTAGCATATCAAGTCTATAAAGTAAATTAAAGTATAAAAGCCTATAAAGTAAATATTGGTAATCAAATAAATTCGTTTTGTCATTCAAAGTAGGTCTAATAAGATTTTTTTTTATTTCACGTAACGTAAAATTTTGTTTTAGAGACGTGCTGCATCAACAGAAAAAAATTGAGGAATTTAAAACGTGTCTGTATATTCTTTAGGCTATTAAGTCCACTGATTCCTTTATTTTTAAGCCTATTTTTGTGTGGTAAGCCATTTCCAAACCTGTCCGTTGTTGCCTATAGGTTGCTTAAAAAAATATTTTCTGTTCTGACTGGCACTGTTTCCGTTGCTCATATTTCTTTATGACATAAGGCTTCGGTTTAAGGGGACATTTGTTAGGCATGCAGATTATTTGTTCCTCTTTTAAATTGGAGCGAGCGTGGAGCGAGAGGACATTTTAGTGGAGCGAGGAGCGGTGTTGAGCGGAGCGGCTTAGTGCAAATTAGAGCGGAGGAGCGGCCGGAGCCAACAGCCTCGTGAGCGAGGAGCGGAAATTCTCACCGCTCCGCTCCGCTCACATTAGTGATGGGAACTCCGGCTCTTTTCAAAGCTTCGGCTCTTTTGGATCGGCTCCCTTTAAAGAGCCGGCTCTTACGGCTCCCGAATGACTCTTCGTTTAGTATCACTTGGATGCTTATATTTTAGCCCAATTAAGCAATTATGAATGGTTTGTGTATAAGCAATTTCTTATTCATTGTTTTCAGACATTACGTATTTTTATGCATTTTTTCATTACAAAAAATACACAGTTACTCCTCCAGTTGCACGGATGGGTGGGTGGTTCTTATATGTCTGTGCAGGTTTGTTGTTGACCCTGCTCTAAAGGATATATTAGATATTAGATAAGGATCATATTACAAATTCTGCACTTTGCTTTGCAGTGTCCAATATCACTGAAATGCAACCAGATGCTGCTTCTTTTTCGGCTTTCACTCATTTCTTCACTCCTTTTTTTCTTCACGATGCGCTTGCATTTAAATCTGGCTCCTTGTCTGTCGCAGCGACAGGTGCACAGAGCCACAGTGTCCCGTACCAACACTCGCTGTCTTCGGAGGGTCTGCCCCCCTTCCTTCTTTCACATAATGGTACGATCCTAGTCCGATGTGTCGTTCGTGAAGGAGCCGGCATTATGAGCCAATGTTCTGTGTGCCCATATAAATAAAGTCCCGCCCCTGCCGAATAGATTTTCAGCTTCGACTCCTCTCGTTCGCTTCAAAGCATCGGCTCTTAGAGCCGGCTCGTTCGCGAACGACACATCACTAGCTCACATGCTCTGGACTCGAGTGAACGAATATGAAGTCCATTTAAACTGTGGTACCTTAAATCTGACAAGTTACCCCGATAACCCAGTAAACCCGCTTCTTAGTACAGGCCACTGGGTGCAGCTTACACCTTGTTTTCTTGAAGCTTCCAGGTTCACTGTAGTCATGCATTAAATAAGAATATAGGGAATATGTTTTAATTGTTGGACCTGAAGACCAAAATAATGCATGGATTATTGTGTGATACAAGGTGGTTTAGTGGGTATCCCTTCAGCTTCAAAATTCCTGTGTAATGGATCAGGTTTCTGCCCTGGTTTTGTGTCTGTGGGGTTCAACTTGTGTATCCCCCAGCTACTGCAGTGTAAGTGAGTTGGTGCCACTGCATTGCTTTGAACTTTGTGATGCAGTGGTGTCCTGTCTGGGCTGTTTGCTGCTTTGTGCCTTATGCCTTGTGGTAGAAGCTACAGGCTCTTCATGATCCTGCACTGAATAAGCAGTTGCTTGTAGGTGTGTTTACGAGAGTTCAGCCCCCACTGAAGGTTCACTAGATACAGCTGAAAGTGACTGGCTCGGCTGGTCTGTTTGGAAACTACGCAGAACCCTGGTACTGCAATTTAAGGTTTAAGTTTTAAGTCCTGAAAGGCTGTTACTGATACTGGAAAATCTGAAACTGGGTTTAGTGGCCACATTTACGCCTGTTATTATTAATTTACTGAATGACGCAACTATAGAAATATTTTTCTTGTGAGTCAAACCTTACTTAAATGCTTACCACAGCTATGAGTGGAACTACAAATACACATCTTAAATCCTGGTTTATGGAAGCACCCCAGATATGACGGGGTGCAGATTTTGTTGCTACTTAAAAACTTAAACATGGAATCTACCCATTTTAAGTCCATCCATCGGTCTCAGAATCCCTTATATTCTGGGTCGTGGAGGAGCATGTAGACTCTGACAGGCACTACAAGGGCATTTCAAGTAAGTTACCCTGTTTAGTTTGGTAAATGATGATTTTGTGTGTGGATGCATATGTGTTAAACATTAATGCATCCAATCGCATGTACTGGTGCATGGATACACCTGCTTAATGATCCTTCTCATCAACTGAAATCTTGCCCATAGCAAGAAAAGAAATTAAAATACTGTTGAGCGTAACAGAACGCATTCTTTTTGTTCATTAGGGAAGAAGAGACTTTGGGTTTAAACCTGTTATGTAGAAACTTCTTAAATTATTGCCAAGCCTACCACCATTTAAACAATTGGGGCTATTGTACCAGGTTAGTATTTCTGGCCAATTATAACACCTATAAATTAATTGGTTGTATTTTCGGTAATCAGAGCCAGAGCAACTGTTCCGTCGCTGGGTGAAGTTAGAGGAGAGAAACCAGAAGGTTGCTGAGCAGCTGTTAAAAGCCCGTGTGGGCATGTTCTTGGGCTGCAGGGCTTGCTACCACTAATATTAGTCTGTTCCGCCGCTGCTGTTCAACTGATAATGACTCATAGTACTGCAAAGACAGTCTGTCTGATTTACTAGTGTTCAAGGTGTAAGAATATAAACAATCCCGACTGCCCTCTTTCTCAGTCCTGCAATTACAGTTTTCAGATACAATTTATGGTGCTGTTTTGATGTCATCGATTGATTTCACAGCAGTAATGTCACAACCTGCAAAAACCACCAAGTGAAGTGATAAAAAACTTGTCTACGATGTCTGTTTTTTGTTTTCTTGGATGAGCAGTGTTCAACTTAATCATTCTGACAGATAGGCACGTAACTATGTAATCGTATCTGAGAGGTGAGTACTTATATTTTGCATGGTACATTTTGTCGTGACAGTACACAACAGTATCAGCTGCATTGGTAGGTAGTTGTTCCTGCTTTTCTCTTGAGTCCATCTTTGTATAATTTATGTCCAGGTATGCTGGTTCCCGGCCCCCCAACAAGTCATGGGTTTCAGCGGATTGTATGTGTGTGTTCTGTGATGTACTGTCATTTCATTCACTGTGATGTGTACCATGGGCTTCCTAGGATAGGTGAGCCTGCATTAGATAAATCGGAGTAAAAAAACTCGAATGCTTCATCCCTGAGGTGTTTCAGCTGGGTATCTGTGGGCAGGATGTTCAATGTTCCAGCCCATTGTTTGCAATGGCTTAAGTTACCTCAGCCTACCGGTAATGCCTTTGTACTGAGATGTGCGTGACCATAGTGTCTATTCAGATTTCAGAAAGGCAGGGAATGTGTGGTAAGGATCTGTCTAGACAGAGTCTTTGACCAAGTTTTACATTAATACTGCTGAGCAGATTTCCTGGTAAAAAGAATTATTGCACTGGTGTAAAAGAAATTCAAAATAAGCTATTGTTTTCATTTCATAAAGTGGGCGTGTGTGTTTGTGTGTGTGCATGGAGTTGACATATATTTGCCTTTATGAAAAATGGTACACTTCTGATTGTTGTCTTCAGAAAATTTTTAAGTTCTTACTGGGAACGACCGAAGACAAATGTTTTGACGGAAGATTTGAAAGTGAAAAACAGAAAGTACAGTTGAAATTTCAGTGTCTTGAGCTAAAGTAAGTGCATTGTAAGTGAATTGTACACTGGCAGAATAATTGCACTTATGAGAATATTCAACAGTACTATCTGTAGAGGGTGCTATCCTCTACTCAGTCAGTGTTAGCTGTTACATAAGTCTGGACTGAGAGCAAGGTATATACAGCTTAAAGAAATTTTTGCGATTTGTTCCAGAACAAGAAACTTTGGAAAATATCATATAGACAACGAAAAAAATCAAGAATAAATGGCAGACATTAATTTACTATACAAACAAAATAAGCATAATGGAATTTATTGCAACACAGAGTAAGTACCACAACATCAATATGCACAGAATGGCCTGAGCCGGACTGTTTCCTGACTTTGACTTGTACTTGACTTTAACCACAACCAGCAGTGCAGAATGAAATGCTTGCCATTTAAGGAAGACCTGTTGGTGTGTGAAATTAGCACCAGTTTCTTAATGTGAGGAATTTGCAGATTTGCACCAATTTGTTCCATAATTCATTTCCTTCATAGTTAAACAAGAAGGTGCTTTTTCTGCTTAGCAATTCCATGTATACTTGTAGTAACAAACTGGATGAGCTTGGTCATAATGTGCTGCGAGCTTTTTGAAAAACACTGCCTGTGTTTTTGAGAATTCAAGCCGAGTAATCCTGGATTTACATTACGCTGTTTAAGTGGAGATACCAGAGCCCAGGCTGAAGGTGACGGCACTCCTGGCTACTGCCCATGTTGTGACAAAAGGCAGACTGGAGAGAGAGAAGCAGAGTGTCAGGGACACAGAATGAGATTCAAGGGTTTATTTTGAGGAGGTTGGTGAGTTTACAAGTAATAACGCAGCACTGTCATTATAACATGGAAATGACCAAGGGAATTCAGCCATCAAACATCTACGAATCTCTCGTCAACCTGGGCTGTTTGTTACTGGTTGCAATGTAGCTTAGTATACCCTAAAATTCATGATGTTGCCCAATAGTAAATAATTGTTTATTGTGTATAGCCAATACATTACCCTTCCCATTATTTTGGTTATCTGCATTATTATTGAGTCAGGAAGTACATTTAAATTGCCCCCTTTAATATGTCTGATATTTACTCCCTTCAGAAAATGTACTTTGTTCTGTTTTTTTATGGCCTTCGTCTCAAGTAATGGTGGGTTGATTGACATTTTAAGTAAAAATTGGAAAAAAAATATAAAATTATTCTAGGTACTGTAAAGGAATTTAAAATCCATCCATCCATCCCTATGCTAATCACTCACTTTGGTCAGGGTGCCGGGAAAATAAAATGGCTTAATTTAATTTATTTATTTTTTCATATATAAGGTGGAAACACAATAAAAAGCTAGCGGTCAGTATGTTTAGCTGTCTGCATTCCTGTCAGGCCTATTCAACTATTCAGTTGCAGCTGTTGCATTCTCATAATTAATAAACAAACTGGTTAAAACTAATCCCTCAGACTGCTGTGATATTGGGTGTTTTCTAAGGCCCTAGATACTGGTAACACTCCCAGCTATCATAGGTGGAGATGCTTTCAATCTACCGTCGTAGAGAAGACCAGTGCAATCTTCATCCATCCGCCATCCCTATGACTAGACCAGAACTTGAGTCATGTACACAAAAAAAACTTGAATGTATGAGGTCTGTTGTCTAGGTTTTTCAGTGTTAAACGAAATCTTCTGGCTTATCCTTGGCTATCTATGCAACTCAATTCACAAAAAAAATAATAATTGTAATTGTTTCCCTATTGTTAACTGAATGATTTTTTTTTTTTTTAAATGTTCTGAGTGCACACGCCGATGTTGGTAAACTGGATTGTAAAGCTGGAGAGTAGTGGCACCAACTAGAGCAGAAAAAGCTTTCTGAAAGCAGGTTTACATTTAATTTATAAACTTAAATGAAAAAACCTTCCATAAGTTGTGCTACACTTTGAACCATATTCAGGATGTTTCATTTGCCTCCCAACTGTTACTTTTCTGTAGACAATATGTCTACAGAAAGTGCCATTCCATATATTTTTATTAGTTTTTAGGGACTTGTTTGTCTAAATACAGTGTAGAATTATATTCTGTCACAACCATTTAGATACAAATGGTAAATTAAAGCGATTGGCTGAAATCATCATCTCTAAAGTGTTAAGTACTTTGACAGAGATGAATTCCTGGCCCCCTCTGCTGGTCAGGGGAGTGATCACAGTGTTATTACCAGGCTTAAAAAACAGTGTTATTTTAAAGATTGTTGGCAAAACAGACATGTGGGATCTGTAGATGGAGCCAGTAATAACATTTTAAAACTACTGTAAGAACATCCTTCCCCGCAGGGTAGGGGGTGGAGCCTGTTTCTGGAAATGCAGTGAGAAGGCTGGGGTACACCTGGGACAGGACGGTAGTCCAACGCAGGGCACCTACACACACACACACACACACACACACACTTTATAGAAAACAATTGCTAATCTGCATGTCTTTGGAATGTAGGAGGAAACCCATGTGACTCAAGCAGGACATGTGTGATGTATCAAAATCATAAACAACAGATCTCAAGGAGCATTTGAAAAATACCTTTATTTTAAAATGTGTACTTTAGTATAGGACCATTCATTCCAATAATTTAAAATGTGATAAAATGGATTGTCAACTTCATAACGCGTACATAAATGTTTCCTCTGGGATACAATTAAGATGCATTTTGGTTGAAAGTCTAAAGCAACATTGTGAACATCATCACACATTTCTCTCACTGCTTCAAATTTCTCAAATGGGAAAAATTGTAATAATACTCTCAGAGTACTTGCCAATACACAACATCTGGGTAATATTTGTGAATATTTGCAGTTAGACCTGACCTCCCCCCTGCATGATGCTCTTAGTAAGACATTACTTGAAACTTGTGAACACTGTGACCACAGCAGATTCCATTTAGCATTCATACGTGGGAATACAAGTAATGTATTAATCCATTCAGCTATCTGACACTGAATTCAGCCCTTGCATGACATGTGTCTGTGTTGTCCTTCTATTTAGAAAACAACATAACTTATTCCTTTGGCACAAACAGGAATTTTCAGCACTTCCTCCCCTCTAACATCAAGCACACTACGTGTTCCTTCATCTAGCAACCCTGAGGTAACCTTAGGGCTCTAATAGGGTAAACAGCAGTACTGAATTTTACATTCACATTTATTGCAAACACTACAATACCATTGAAACATACAAACTTTAAAAGGGTACAAAAACACGCACTACAATGTGAACACATGCTCATAAAACCTGCTTGGTTTTGTTACATGACCAGTTTTCCTTTATAAATATGTTTTTGTAACAATATCCATAAACTATAGATGTTTTTTTGTTCTGTAAAACAGACTAAGAGCAACTATTCTTAACAAATACCATCTAGTGTGCCACATAAAACCTTCGCGTTGCAGCAGTAGAAAACACTTTGTGACATAAAAAATTATGTGTCATAGTTCATGTCTAGATGTATTTTCAAGTGCAAAAGACTCTTCACCTGTGTGAAAATAATTTGTTTATTTATGTAGTAAGTTACTGCCTGAAACCTCCCGGACTGGACAGGAGTTGTGTAGGCATTTAAATTTAATAACTTCTTCTTCTCCATGACCTTTACCATTCACTCTTCTCAGTAAAAAGCTCTTCCTGCTATCACATGCATTATTATTATGACATTTCCATTTATTTTTATGAAACGTTTTTAATGTCATTAACAACTTCTTTCCCTTGTAACTGCATAGTGACTTGAGGCTGTCTGTGACTTGCCATTGTTTTGTAGAGGTGTTAGTTCCTAACGGTTACACAGACTCATCTGATTGATGTATGTTGTAATCATAGAGCTCTTAATCCTTTTCCATGGTACCTAGAGATGTCTCCCTCTCTGGCTGACTAAATATTAATTAGACTTAAGACAGCTTGCTGAGTCACTGTTGAAATATCTGTGTGTAACGACACAAAGCATTTCTCTTTTCATGTAAAAACAAGCTGTGATGAGTATCACTGAAGAATCTAGTGGGTGATTGTGAGAGTGTCTTTCCTATACTAAGTCTTCAATAGCTGTCTGTAACATATTAGTGTACATGTTCAGTTCCCGTTTATCCAAACAACTACCTAATACAGCTCCAACTCAAAGTAAAACATGTCAAAACAAAGTTATTATTTTCTTTTGACTCATTTCACCTGTGGTAAAATTCCCACAATGTAAACAGAATATTATTGCGATTTATTAATCGTAAAGTCACTTGCATACTGGCAGTTATTAATTTATGAATGAAGGCTTTCATCAAGACCTGCACAGTCTGAGTGCACATAAAACAATGGCAGGCTATCGTCCCCTGAGGAATGCCCTTGATGTGTAGGCTCACAGATTCCATGCAGTGAGTCACATTACTGATGTTGGCACTTCTCTCAGGTTCTCCTGCATGGTCTTAAAACCCCGAAATTAATTGAAATGCTCTACCTATTCTTGGTTAGGTCAACAAATATCAGATCTTTCCAACGAGCTGCAGATAAAATGCCATTTTTGGCCTTACATCGTTATGGCCTGCAGATGGGCTGTCCACGTAAACAGATGGTCCTTTGCTTTCATGGTTGTTCGTGGTTCTTGCCTGGAAAGGAGGTGATCTTCCTCAGAAAGCAGGATCAGATGACATCCTGTAAAAATCCCCATGTGGCCTAATAAATCATTAAATATGACTCAGATCTGCCTTAGACTTGACATCGACATGGAAAATGCAAAGTCAACTCAATGGCAGCTTACATTTTACTTCTACAATCACTTTTATAGGCTGCATACAATCTGTGAATGGGACATTTGAACATTACTTGAAAACATCTTAGCTGGACATATAAAAAGGTGCACATTATATTATTAGTATTATTTTTAACAAACTTTTAAAAAAAATACAAATATCTCAATAAACCTCACAAAAATGGTTTTACTACTGTGTACATTATTATATTCTGGAACTCTGCATTTCATTGGTTATTTCTTACCAGGGTTGCACCATCTCATGACAGGATGTGGACAAAGAGAATGGCTAGACCAATGTTCAGCAGTATGACCATACAAATCATGATTGTATTTGGCCCCTGAAACACAAACAAACCAGAGGGTGATTCCAGGGAAAAGCAGAAAATATATTTAATTATTTTAATACTATATAATAACCATTTTATGAACACTCTTACGAAAAGATAACTATTCTTATACTCATTATATACAACATGTAACATAATTTTGAAAGCAAAGGCACACAATTTCAAAAGATAATACAGCCATTTTTAAGGTACGCTATGTTTTACTCAAGGCCCAATATATGTGTTGTCAGCAAAGTTTTCTAACCTTTTAACCATAATTCATCTTTTTCAGATTTAATGGTTTCTGGTTAATTTGTATCTGACATTTATGTAACATAACATTTACTAGATAAACTACATTGGCTAGAAGGACAGGAGGTCAGTTCTTGTTGTCCTTTTAACGTCTGACTCTGGTTTTCATCTGTAGTGGATGTTCAGATCCACCTAATGACTTCACTAGGCACAATGATGACTGTGACAATTTAGTGGCCCATTAATCTCTCAGAAGGGCCAAGGCTTCATGTTTACACTGTGGTAAGGCTAGAGAACCTCAGTGACCTTGAATTTGAAATCTGCTAATATGAGTTATGTATGACTCTGGGACATCGCTGCAGCAGATACACATGGTACAAGCCCAAGTCCAGTTGGGCTGAAGTGTGTTCTGTCTGCACTGGCTGGTTAATCTACTCAATAGGTATGTTAAATTTGATCAAACAGGTCTGTTTCCTTAGCTTTAACATCCATAGTGCCTGAAGTCTGTGTGTTCGCAGTCCACACAGGAACACCAATGTACCTAAGTGGCAGAGGCGATTACAGAGCTTGGTGGAAAAGAGCTGAGATGGCATTATCCGGCTACAGTACCAAGAACAAACCCCAACAGAACCAAGGAAAGAGCTTCATACATATTTGGCAAGAAGAATCACTGAATTAGCCCAACTTTTGACCCACAAAAAACAAAATGAAGGTTATGCATTCATCTGACTTTTATTTAAATTTTATATTTCTTTTTTTAAAATATAGAAATATTTCTCTAACATATACTTAGAGACATGGATTAGTTTCAATATCAATGTAGGAATCTTACCTCTTCAGCCTCTTTCATGTCAGTGGGAGCCCTGAGAATGGGCTTAGCCCGGATATCAATTCTGGGTTCTATCTTGGACAACAGTTTGCCAGCAGGTCTGGGCAAAGTTTTAAGCTCTGCTTTGGGCAACGGTTTTGGTTCTTGCTTAGGCTCTAGTTTAGCTATTGGCTTGGGTTCTAGTTTGACTTCTGGTCTGAGCTCTGATTTTACTTCCAGCTTGGGCTCTGCTTTTGGAGCTGGTCTAGGGGGTGGTGTGGGCTCAGATCTTGCAGGTAGTTTCAGCTCTACCTTAACTGTTTCCTTCCGTTCTTTCCTCCCTTCCTCATTTGACTCTGGTTTCTCCTCTGTGGCAGAAGGCAGACACTCGTGGGAGGACTCCCGTGTCTCTGTTTTGGGTCTGAGATCTGTTTTGGGCTCAGGGGTAGTCGATTTGGAAGGCCCTTTGGAGGCTAGAGCCTGGTCTTCTTCATCAGTGGAATACACTTGACTGTTTCTCGCTGAAGAACTGGGCTGGGGCTCAGCCACCTTCGACTCGGAGTCTGTCTTCTGCAGTGGCTTGATCTCCAGGTCGCTGCCCTGCTGGGCCCTGCTGCTCTGCCGGCTGGGGCTACGTGAGGGCTTGCGGCCTTCCTCGGAAGCTGGGGCAGGCACAGCAGAAGAAGAAGGCGTGGTGGGTCGGCTGCTTGACCTGCTGCTTGGCCTGCTGCTGGGACGGCTGCCACCCCCTCGGCTACTCTTTTCTCCATTCCAGACACCGGGGCTCAACAGGTTGGGGTCCTCCTTACTGGTGCTTTGCTTGGATTGCCTGAACTCTGCGGGGGTGGGGGGTCCAGGGGAGGGCGTGCGAGTTTGGCAGGAATCAATATTATCCATCACGTGCAACTGAGGGCTCTCAGGGGGTGTTGGAGGGCGTTCCTCTGCAAGTAGAGGCTCTGGTACAACACTCTCTGCATTCTCATTATCCTCTGCAATCTCCTTCAGTACCCTCTTTTTCAGGTACTCTGGTCCTGTGACAGAAGTAAATTTATGAGCATTTACTGCATGCTTATTTCGTGAAACATACTTCCTCACTAATATGATTACAAATACATACAGATGATCTTTAGTACCAGCCCATTTAGAGAGCATTTCACTTTCCCTCTCGTCACAAATGAATCACGTCATATGAGAAACTGATGCTATATTTAAAACCTGCTGTCTGCTATACTCCCTCTTGTCCTAAATATCTCCTATGTTGCTAATTATTAAAGGACAGGATTAGTAGGGATGCACCGAGCTGATACTGATATGAGGTATCGCTCTGATATTGACTCAAATAGCCAGATCAGGTATCGTGACAATGAGGCCGTTCACTTCAATTCCATTCCATTCAACTCCATTCAATTCAGTACTATAGTATGTTTATGTCTACGTGTGTGTACTACCTCATGTATCAACAGTGCACTGCCAGACGTACATATTACTGGAAGTAGAGCTAACACAGCATGGAGGGTGCTAAACAGCCTGCAGTTTGAAGGATTTATGTTTATGCAAAGCCAGCTTTCTGAGGGATGGCAGAAGCACTGCAAATTATAACACAACTAACTTACAGAGGCTTAGGTCCTATATCACTAAAATATAGTACTAGGCTTTGGTGATATCTAACTTTCCATACTGTCCAGACATTGCACCAGGGTGTATGGTATTTTGACAGTATTTTTGCAATGCAATGCTCTTCCAGTATTTTGAAATCCACCAAGATACAGTTTCATTGAAAGGATATACCATGATATGCTTTTACTGTTATACTGCTCAATCCTACTACTACTAAATTCACTTTTGGTTCATAAACGTGAAAATGATGTCTTCAAGTACAATCCTGTAAGCCAAATGTGTGGTGCCCATGGTATAAGCAGGTTAATGAACTCCCAGCCAATCATTATACAGTGCACTGATTCTTAGGTAAAGGGATATGCATGCATTATTTGGATAAATTATTCACAATCAAAATGAACACTACTGTCAAGGTTTTGTTCCTCTGTAGAGACTTTTCAAGCTGAGAACTGAGAATCGTGATATAAATGATTGAGTCAGGAAAAAAAGAACACTGGTTTCAGGTAAGGTAAAATATTACATACATACATTTTTGCGTGGACAGCAAAGTAAGAATTTCACTGCACAGAGAAATGCACTTTTCTACTGTACATGTGACAATAAACGCTTTGAATCTTACTGAATTATTTGTTATTAAAAACATATAATAATTCAATACATTTATGTATGCATTTATTTGTTACATTTTTTTTACGAAGTTAGAAAAACAATGTTTAAATCAAGTATGATGTTGCCTTACACATAAAAGAATGATCCCAGTCTCTTGCACACAGTGAGGCATACAGCGTATTAACCGTTTACTGGTCTAGATGGGCACTCGGTGTTAGCTGATACCCAAAGCCCAGGTATCATTGCCGGTATGGGGACTGATAAAGTCGGATCGTTGCATCCCTAATGCAGATCATGCAGATCATTTCAGCAGGAATGTTCATAAGTCACCAGAGAGCGATCCCAGATAGGATCCCAGATAGAGACCACCTGTTCAGTATGACCAGTTTCTCAGGGAAAGACTTGGTAACATTCGTATCTGACAAATAACATGTTGCAATGGCAGTTTTTTTCAAGTAGCTACATCTCCAGGGATAATTCCGTGAACATAAATTTGGCCGTCTCTAGTATCAAAAAACTGATCATTTAAAGGTTTCTATGACAGCTGCATCTGTTGGCAGAACTAAAGTACACAGTGACTGTAGCTGCTTGCAGAAGTAAAGTATACAGCAGTTTTTCCCAGCCCTGTCTCTGGGGACCTGCAGATGGTCCACATTTTTGAGCGAAAATGCAGACTGCCCTAGGGTCCCTGAGGACTGGAATGAGAAACACTGGTGTGCAGCAGCTGTAGGTTCCCACAGAAGCTGTTTGTCAGCATTATAGCCAAGGTCATGGTCAGTACAGTGATAGCTACCAGTGAGACATATGCCTCCAGTGTCAGTCACTGCCAAAAATGTGCTGCCGTCGAAGAAATGTAACTATTTCTTACAGGTCTGTTCATCAGAAGCAATTTAAATGTCAGACATGACTCTGACAATATAGCTTTCTCATAAAATGTGTTACTTTCACTATAGCCTATTTTTATATAATTTACTTAAGAACTGTCAGTAAAATGACATTATGACAATAACTCAAACCAAGGACAAACCTCAGGGAAAAATGAAACAATAGGCTATTCCTGATGACATTCTGAAAGGTCCCCGCAGTGTATCATAATTAATCAAAAATCGGTTTCAGCTTTATAAAACAAACGATGAAAGGAATGTAAACCTGAATAAGAAGGCAGGTTCTTTCTGAAGCAAAGACTATATTCAGCTCAATACTTATTTAATATTTGCACTAGTACCACTTTTCTTAGTGTTTTGCACTTCAATCACCTTCACTGTGGCATTATAACTAGGCTGGTGGGTAAGTGATGTAGTGAGAAGAATCTGAACTCCAGGGGCCTGATCCAATCTGAAGGCAGAGTTAATACGTCACATAAGGGGTGAAGACGGAATTATGGTCGATTTAAACTGCATAAACGCAGGGCAGAGCACATTGCTTTTAAACGCACATGGTTCACTTACCAGCCTGCTATACAGATTTTTTTGTGATGAAATGACCCCTTTGCTTTCCATTGACCAACATTACACTATCTCAGTGCCATTGGGTCACACAATGACATCTGGTTCCTTGCCAGCTATCTGTTCCTGCCCTCCAGGTCTCGTTGGTTACATTTAAAGCCGTGTGCTCCAGGCGTGGCTGTGGTACCCTCCACACCACCTGTGCTCCATCTGAGGCCAGTTCTTTGCTATCCTCCCTCATGTGGAACTCACACACAGCTTCTTAAACTGTGCCATTAGTGCTGCAGGTGTACTGATGAATTCAACTGAGGATGAAGCCTGTAATGTCTGTGTCCCCCCCCCCTCTATCTTCCTTTATGCATAAGCACACTGATCCATGAAGCTCCGTGTGAAGTGTTTTTTGTGATAATGATAATAACCACAACAAGAACAAGAAAAATAATAATGATAACAATAATAATGACAATAGTATGTGCTTCCATAATTTTATATTGCATTCTCCTTTATCCATCAAGCACAGAGCTCAGTTTGCGTATTATGCTTTCGATTACTGTATTTATTATTTGGCTCTGATAACTGAGAATAGACACTGAAAAGAGTGGTAGCTTACATGAATACTAGCTAGCTGACAAAAAAAAACACATCTCTTCCAACAAAGGATGTGGGGAGTCTTAAACTTTGTAAAATTCCCGAAGAGACAGACCATACGCACTTGAAGTAACAGATTTTTACTTCTTATAGTGTTGAACATGGATTCTACATAATGTGACGTTCTACACGTGTCTACACGTTAGACACTCAGTGGCCATTTTATTAGGTACACCTTCTCATTAACACAGACAGCATGCTCCTCGGAATAACGAATCATGTGGCTGAAATGGAATATGCACAGCATGCAGATGGGGTCACAAGGTTCACTTACTGTGCTGCTGAGCATTAGAACAGCTAAGGAGCAAGATCTAAGTGATTTTGAACATGGTAAGATTGCTGGTACCAGGCAAGGTTGTTCCAGCAGCTCAGCCACACTCCTTGCACACATCAGTGTCTAGAGCTATAGAGAATGGTACGATAATAATAAAGCATCTAGTCTGGGGCAGATCTGCAGCCATAAACACCCTGGACTTATTAAAGTTAACAGGGAGGCCAAAAGTACAAAAACAACAGCTCAGCTCAGTAAGGTGTGCAGAAAGGCGTCTTTGAACCCACATTTCAACCCTTGAAGATATTTTGAAGACAAAATTTGGTTGTACCTGGTATTACATAGGGGTATCCAAAGAAGCGGCTATTAAGTGGGTGTCTGAGTATAATTTTGTTGCACAATTCTTAATGTGTGTGGTTCATTTACCGTGATTGGTTTGCACTTCTGCGGTGTGTTGGCGACTGCCCAGGGTTGGTTCCCACCTGCGCCTATTGTTCCCAGGATAGGTTCTGGTCCCCCCCCCCCCACGACCCCAGTTTCAGAGAATGGATGGATGGATGGTTTGCACTGGTATACTGCATCTAGTCCTTCTGCAGTACCTACAGTGACGCACAGTACCTACAGTAATCTACCACACAATAAGTCTCTTGCACAGACTGATACATGGTACAATAGAAACTGATACATTGCAGACTGATCCAAAACACTCACCTGGCTGGTGGAAGGTGGGCGCCAGCTCCCTGGCCACCGTCCTGGCGATGCTGGACTCACTGTTCGATGCCCTGGCAGCTTGCTCAGCTGCTTCTGACTTGGCCTTAGCGTGGGCAGTCCTAAAACGAGGACGGTGGGGAGCAGTGCTTAATTTGTGAATGTGCCAGAACGTGAAGGGCATATGAGAGCGGAGGGGTAACAAGGAGCGAGCAGGTCCCAGAACATGTGCAAAGCACGCTGCTGAAAACATGCTGTAATAATAAAAATGTATTTTTAAGAATAAATCTAAATTAATAAAGGACGTGAAATTGTGTGAAAATTGGTCAGTACATTAAAATACTTGCCAGCATTTTATTTATTTATTGTTTTTGTTTTTTACCTAGAGAGCTACAGCCCAGTAATAAAATAAAAGACCATTTAAGAATGTGGTTCACTCTCCCCCTCTCAACGGGCCAGCTTGCAGCTGTTAAAATGAAAATTTCACCTCACCTTCTAGCAGCTCCAAAAGTGGTAAAATCTCTCGATACCCTAACTAGCAACTTTTATTGGAAGAACAAGGAACCCAGAACAAGATTATCAACACTACAAACCAAACTTTTCAAAATGAATTAGAAGCTCCTGGATTAGAGGAAACATTCTTCGCTGCAATTTAGCAAACCAGTTACAGCATCTTCTTAAATAGAGTATACAGCACAAGGATAATGACTCATGGATGGCACTTACCAAGACATTTTAATTTCTGATTTACCATTCCTAAATACAACTGGCAAGCAGTCACGTTTTAAACAGTACGATGTGGAGAACTCTGACAACCTGGTGGTAAGCAAAGTTAGAAAATCAACACTAACACCTTACATACACTCCTATCTAGCTCAACCCAAACCTTCTGCTTCATAATTTCCCTGTTCACTTTCTCACCCAGCAACAAAAAGGAATGTTTCATCTCCATCCCTCTTCCAAAATAACCAGTTCATAACATTCAGGGACTAATCCAGACGTATAAGAGTGAGAGACACCAGTTTCTCCACAACAATCAACTAAAATCAGCAATTAAATGCAAGATTAAAAAAAACCAACGACCCTCATTAACGTTTGACACTGAAGTTGAAAACATTACGAAAATCAAACAAATTTACTTCAAAACTCTATATAATTTTATCCAGCCTGGAGGAATGACCTATGCTATCAACAACAAAGTAGGAAAATTACTTGGATATCTCAACCTTTAGACATTTTTTTCTTCTATGAACAATGACGCTAATCTACAGCTCATACAATAAAAGACTATCCACAAAACTCACATCACACAATATATGTGATGGTTTACTGGTTTATCTAATGCAAACATTTGTTTACAGTTCACCCTTTTGAGCACTGATAGTTACTTTCAGGCTACTTGGATATGCCAAGCATTTCTCTCCTTCTGGGGTGTGGAATGCCACCGTCACCAACACTCTGCTTGCTCTGAGATATTTCTTCAGATACTGTCCCAAACAAATATAGAAACCTGTTACTCACCTCTCTAACTATCAGCAACAGATTTGCTGAACTGTAAATCTAAGAATCCATTACATATTAATAACTGGATCGACCTCCTTAGATAATACATTACTTCAGAGAAGATGGCAGCCACTCAGAAAAACAACCCATCAAGTTTAAGGAAAAATGAAACCCATTTTTCTAACTTTTTGGAATTTGTTAGATAGATCATGGTGGCTCAGTGGTTAGGACTGTTACCTCAAACATCTGGGACCAAGGTTTGAGTCTTTGCCATGCCTCTGTGTGTGTGGAGTTTATTCTCCCCATGTTGTCACTGGGTTTCCTCCTCATGGTTTAAAAACAGGCCGAGGCTAATTGGAGTGACCAAATTGCCCATAGGTGTACAAGGATGAGTGGATGGTGTGTGACTGCACCCTGTGATGGGTTGGTGCCCCATTCTGGGTTGTTCCCTGTTTTGTGCCTGTAGTATTCAGGATAGAATCCAGAACCCCTGTGATTCTGAATAGAATAAGTGGTTACAGAAAATGGATGGATTGAAAGATCACATTAACACAGTCTGTTGACTTTATATATTAATAGTTTTCTTCACTTGATTGATCACTTATTCTTTCATGTATTTTTGTTTTAGTAGCAATTGTCCATATATCATATATCCATATATCAATTTAAACCCATTATTACTACTACCACTATACCACTATTACATTTTATTTTTTTATTTTTACAAACAGAGAATTTGCTGTCTGGACTGACACTGGACAACAAGGTCATTTCTGCTTATTGTAAAATCCAAGTAGTCTGCTACAATACCTGCATATTTTCTTACGGTATCTGTTTCTTTGACATTACAAACATGAACCAAAATAATTATCATAAGCAGATATTACTTTATAATTTTTATGCCTAAGGAATTAAAGGAAGATCTTTCATCTTAGGGTGGAGGAAATAGTTTGGCATGCTGGAGAAAACATACAGAAGCCAGTGGTGAGAAAGTGTGACAATGTGAAATTATTAAACAGACATTTTGTCATAATCCAAGATGACATAAGACTACAGCAGCTCATTACTTTAGATGGACATATTTCAGGAGTAGGGGAATTTATCAGTGACTTCAAGCCCAGTTTTTTGACTGTAAACAGTAGGAACAGAAAAATCCCAGGGCCTTAAAACCGGCGAATTCACAGGATAGTGGGATTCCCCTGTTAGCCCACTCTAGAACAGTGAAATATGCTCAGCACGGCGAACATCTGCGCCAAATACCTCTTTAATAAATTGCTAGGAAAAAACGGTGCAAGGACATGTTGTTAATGCTTATTCAATATGTGCACTGGGGATTCATTTATTCACGTTTCTTCAAGATGGCATTTTCTGATTTATTTGCATTTATTTGCAACACCAACCTACATGTAAACACATAACTGGTGTCACAATTCGCATAATGTATTTGTATATTTCATGCATCCCTCCACCCACCCTTCATTATTCATAACTGCTTATCTGATACAGGGTAAAGTGAACCTGGAGCTGATCCCAGGAAACAGGGTGCAAGGCAAGGAAAACAGATTCCAGTGCATCACAAGTCAAATACAGACAAGCAAGTCACACCCAGGGGAACTGAAAGAAACCAAACCATCTAATCTACGTTTTCGGACTATAGAAGGAAATAAGACACCCTTGAATCCCTCCGGGCCACCCTTGTGCCTGTTTGCGTAACGCACAATACATTATTGAAATTGAGTTTTAATGAAGGTTATTTCTGTGATTTCTTAACGTGAAATATAAACATACTAAAAACAAAGTAACAATTCCATCAATGATGTCAGCGCCAATAAAATTAGGGGCTCCACAAACTCACGGACAGTTGCAAGCAACGGTGTGCCAGACGAACCCTAAATAAGGAAAGGTTTTATGTGTGTATGGAAGTCCTCTGTAAGCCAGATTCTATGTAAGGGGCTCTGTGGCAGCAAAGCAACAACACAGCTAATAAATCACTTTCGACCAGTGGGCCAAACACTGAGACAGGGTTTTAATTGCACTGTAATCCTGAAAGGCATCAATTGGTCGCAGTCGAATTCATAAAGCTAGAACATAAACAGGATGATTGCGTTTTCATTCCTCCCAGGCAGCAGACGACAGCTAAGCAATGTGGCTGCTTTGAGCAGCGAACGCCTGCTATCGCCTCCTAGACATTCCACTCCTCTTTATTTGGAGAGACACTCAGTCTTGTCTATAAAAAGAAACAAGAATGTACCTGACATACGACAAACACTCATATGAGGTCTTGACCTACTACAGAAATGTACACAAAAGAAAACGGCAGATCGCAGAAAGTCATGTTGCTAATAAGAAGTTCTGCTTGTCAGACTGTAAGAAGAAGAATAATTATATGCAGGTACGCCTCTAACATTCCCTCAGCTCTGTATTCTTAGCAGGAATGGATGAGCCCTCCCCACTGTCAAATTGGAACAGGAGTAAATGACACTTCTAACAGCCAAACTCTGCTGCACAGCTACTATGCAGGGTCACGTTGCCTGTAAAAACTCTTGTGATACTTGCGTATATTATTTATATTTGTAATGGGAACAAACCCTTTCCTTTATCCTTGAACAGTCCATAAATAGATTGTTTTAGAAAGGCCAAAGTATCATTTGTTATGACACAGCAGCCTTGCCAAAGCATCACAATGGCAATTTTAAATAAATACAAATGAGTCTGAATTTGAGTCTGGAAATTCACCAGCCTCTCATAGCATGGTGATTATACTGCAGTTGTACTGCATTAACATGTTGCGGCTATAGAGCTCATCAAAAATTAATTATGACAATCATGCAACCTGTCACATTTAGAATAAAAATGAATATTACAGAACACTCTATTGTCGTTGTAGAGGCAGCAGGTACAACGAAATTCAAACATATACGGATGAGACTGCTGCTTGGTTTCAGCGTGCAGGGTTACCCCAGAGCAGTGTTTCGGGTTAAGGGTCTTGCTCATGGGCCCAACAGCAATGACTGCAGGTTGGGCGACCTGGACGGGACTGGCGATGGTGGCCCTGCTGGCAGCTCGCAGCCACGACACTTTTAAAACAGCACCGGTGGGTAATTATAACCTCTTCTGCTGGGTAAGGCTTCTAGCGCCACTGATATCACAGTGCCATGCCGGGGGCTTCAGTGATTGGGATTAATGCATGGATGCCGGGCATACTGTAACGCTACACGGGCCACGAATAGCTGCAACCCCCAGTGGGGGAGGGGGGGGGGGCATTAGAAGGAGGCACTTCGCCACAGGACAATTAGAGACTCCCCGCCACCTACAGTGTCTGTGCACTTGGCTACTCGGAATCACCACCTGCCTCTCCAGCCTCCCTTTCCTTCCTTCAAAGGTTTCTTCTTAAGACATGACACTTTGAAGATGCTTTCCTGATGACTTTAAAAAATACAGGGGACTGGAACTGTGGTGCCCTGTGACAGACAGTATCATCTGCCTTCCATTCAGGATCTTACAGCAGATGGAGCCTTCTTTGACCAATCCTGCTTCAAGGGACCATCAAGGGTACATTAAGCAGGATTGACTGAATACTGCTTTTGTTCTTACTGTTTGTGCACCATCAACTACTGAT